TAATAAATCAAGAAAACCACAATCCATAATTAACGCTTTGTCGGAAATGCGACTGGTATAACCTTCTGATAAAAACAATAAAAGAATTAGGAGCAACACCTATCAAAAACTTTAAAGTATTGTGGTGTTTATATTCAGACTAAGTTACACTTTACAATTCCAAATTTTTTGGGGTTTGTATGAAAATTTCTGAACAGTCAATAATAGCTGCCAAGTTTTTATATTTTTTAAATCATAAAGAGCTTGTTGCATTTAACATGCCAAGGTCTGGTACAAATATTAGATGCTTACAAACTTCTGCTAATGTTCTTATCCAAGAATGAAATATTTTGGAACAAGTGCTAATAGAAATATTAAAAAAAACGACTAGCAAGATCTTTGTTAAATGATCTTAATCAAAGTTTCATTAAAGTCAGCAGAAACTCATCTTGTGAACATAATTTTCTTGCACGTCCTACTTTTTTAGTGTTCCACTGACAGTTCTTTTAACAGAAACAGAATTAAATTGTTTTTTAACATAAGGGCTAAAAAAGTCATGCAATTTATTAAATAACTCTAAAGAACCAAGATTTGTATAGAACTTTACATTACTTTTTGATAGAAGTTTCTTATATACAGATAAAGGCTTAGTTGGTTGCATTATAATTTTGTTTTGAAGTTAGTAATTTTGTTTTGAAGTAGAGGCAGATATAGTGGCTGTTTTTATTGAAAATGAATCAGAAATTATGTTGTTATTTCGTTTATTTATTTGTATTTGTATTTATTAGAACAGTCCAGAGTTACACCGAGATCTTTCGAAATAGAAGACCAAGCTAAAATATGATCTCCTAACTTATAGTTAAAGTAAACAAATTTTCTTGATGAAGCAGGTGCAATCCTATGAACAAAACACTTACTGGTAGAAATAGGTAGTTGCCATATTTCTGACCAAAGTACTACATTATTAAGAGCAATAGCTAAATAATGGCTATGGTCCATATTGCAAAATGAACTGTATAACTTGATGTCATTGGCATAAAGTTTTAAAGAGCAATCAAGATAGTTGACTATAGCGGTTATATAATTGATATATAGTAAAAATAATGTTGGGCCTAACATGCTGCCCTGAGAAACTCCACTAACTATGCAAGTTGGGTTTGATAATGAAGTTCCAACCTTAGCTTGTTGACTCCTATTGTTAAGAAATGCAGAAATCCAATTTTTTAAATTACCTCTTATGTTAAATAAAGCTAGTTTGGCTAACAATTTAGGGTGTGATACAGAATCAAATGCCTTTTGAAAGTCGATATATACAACATCTGTTGTTGGATTATTGTCTTGTGCAGTACTCCAATCATTAACAGATTCTAAAAGATTAGTGCATGTAGAGCGTTTCTTGAGGAAACCATGTTGATTATTGGCTATTAAGTTATGGAGAGTTAAGTATTTAATAATATCCGAGTTGATAATTCTTTCCATTGCACAACAACAGATGCATGTGAGTGAAATTGCTCTATAATTATTAGGGTCTGATGTTGCTCCTTTTTTAAAAATTGGAGAAAAAAAAGCTTGAAGCCACTGTTGTGGTAGACTTTTTGACTTAAAGCTGGCATCAAATATAAACGAAAGTGGGATACATAAACCAAGAGCTAGCTTTTTCAGAAGAATGTTCGGTATTCCGTCAGGATCATAAGATGTACTCGGTTTGAGATTGATTAAAATATTGGTTATTGGTATGTAAACAATAAACAGAAAAATTCTCAACAGAAAAATTAATGTCTTCAATGTTTATCGAGTCGTTAACAAAACTAGTAATATTTGGTGAATAGTTGTTATTGTCCGTAAATACACTTCCAAAGTGTTTATTGGTCGATCACAATTAGATGAAACAGAAGGAACAAATTATTATTTTATTTAATGCGTTGTATTCCAATAGTTCTGTAGGATATTCAAAATTTTCATGAATAAAATGTTCCGAACAAATTCTACTGTAATTAGAAGCTTCCCATTGAGATTTGTCTGAATTTACCCAATTTATCAATTTTTTTTAAATGGATCGACGCTCTGGGTCTTTTTCCTTAGTAGGAAGAGGAATAAATTTAAATGGTTCAGAACAGCAGCAATTAGGATCTTCTTTTGAACATTTATGAATTTCACAAATAGCTTTTTTCCACTTTATAAATTTGATTGAGTGATTAGAACAATCAATGACAACACAAGAAAGTGAAATAGCCATATTAAGCAAATAATTAAACTACAGTTATTCTGGGTAACTTTGAATTTGCGGGTAACATTGAACTTAACATGTAAATGTTTTTAAATTTTTTTTTCTTTGGTATTTTCTTTGCCTGTTGCTTTAACAAAGAATAATATGACGAATTATCTTTTTTTACAAAAGTTTGACCAAAGAAAATTAAATTTTATTTCTCAAAAATAATGTTTTCCTCCATTTCCAGTTTCACAGTTGAATGTGGTGATAACATCGTGTGTTTTCAATTTAGAATATTTGGTATTATATTGTAGTTATCTGAATAGATTTTTAAGTATTTTATTGAATTATTTTTTGAACTTTAATACAAACTCAAATTTAATACAAAAAAATTATGTTATTAATTAAATAATTTTCATTAATAACATAAATCATCTTTATATTTTTAGCATTCATAAAATGCCAAGAAAATGTTCGACAACTCATCCTGGCACAAGAAAAAATGGCACTAAATCTAATTACACCAATTCTACACTTCAAGAGGCTTTAGCCAAAATTAAATTAGATAAAATGTCGATTGGTGAAGCTTCTAAAATTTATAAAGTACCTAATGCAACATTAGTTTATAAGCTAAAAAGTAAACACTGTAAATCAGTAGGGTGCCCTATTGCCCTTAGCATTGATGAGGAACTTTGTTTTGAAAATCACTTACTTTATTTAAGTGACAAAGGTATACCAATTGGAATTAATGATTTTAAAAGTATTGTCAAAATCTGGATGATAGTGGAAAAAATATACAACAGTTTAAAGATAACCGACCAGGTTGGGAGTGGTGTAAACTTTATCTTGACAGTATCTCATTGTATTTCAAGGAAACGTGCACAGATTAATTATTGTCAAATAAAATTATTTTTTTCAAAATCTAGAGAAGGAATTAAATGGAGTAATGCCAGACAGAACTTATAAGAAACACAACAAAAACTTGTTACACTGTTGTTTTTTGTAGAAATGCCTCAGAAAAACAAATTCCACCATTTTTCATTTTTAAAGGAAAACACAGTTGGTCTGACTGGCTTTTCAATTCACCAGAAGGATCAAGAATGGCAACTTCTTGCAGTGGCTGGATGGAAATTCAAATATTTGAAGAGTGGCTGTTAAATTACTTGGTTCCAAATATTATAAATAAGGAAGGTAAAAAAATTCTGATTTGTAATTATTTAAGTGCTCATATATCTTTAAAAGCCTTAAATATATGTGAAAAGCATAATATAACATTTATATGTTTGGTACCCAATTCCACACACCTTTTACAACCTCTAGATGTTGGATACTTCTCGAGTTTAAAAGCTAATTGGAGGTCAGTTCTTAATCAATGGCGTAAAAACATCCAGAGGAAAAAAGGTTAATAACCGGCCAAAAAATTTGTTTACGCAGCTCATCAAATCTACTCTTAATGTTGGTAAAGAAAATCTAAAACATAATCTCCAAACAGGATTTAAGGCTACTGGCATATATCCATTTGTACCAGAACATGTTCTCTCCAAATTACCCAGTTTTACAAATATAGATATTCAACTCAATATTGAAGAATCGTTTAGGAATTATGTTGATGATATTCATCTTAATTATGAAGTAAGCAAAAAATTTAAGTTACCAATAACAACAGGGGGAAAAGTGTATCAGCCACTGAGGTAGAAGCATACTATAAGGAAAGAGACAATAAAAAAAAAGTCAAGATAATATTCGAGCAAAGAAAAGAGGAAGACCACTTGGATCAAATAATATGGTTATGAAAATAAACAAAAAACTTAATATTTTACAAAGTGCAAGCATCGTAAATGTTAATCAAGTTATTGAAGACAATGAACAAGTTTTACCTGTATCTCAAAATGATGCAGTTTTTTCATTGGAGCAAATAAACAATCACTATGTACATGTTTTCCTTGATCATGATTATTTTGTAAAAGAGTTAGTTGTAACTCAAGACTAAAAGAGTGAAACACTATAATATTTAGTTTTATAGTCAATGGTGTTTATTTGTGGAGAATTATATAAAAATAATGTCTTAATTATTTTTTCTTTTATAACCTTAAAAATTATTTTGTGAATATTTTATTGTAAAACTTATTTGTTTATTCTCGAAATATTTTATTGAAAAACTTGTTTGTTTATTCTCGAAATATTTTATTGAAAAACTTGTTTGTTTATTCTAGAAATATTTTATTGAAAAACTTGTTTGTTTATTCTCGAAATAGTTTAACTAGATTTTTTAAGAAATTAATTTAAACTAATACAAAGAAATTTAAACAACTTTTTAGATTTAAAAGATTAAAATTGACATTCAGTTTAATAGTGTTCAAAGTTACCCGAAATGCGAGGGTAACTTTGAACGCTTACTTGAACATTGTTTTTTTACATAATATCTAGCAAATTTAAAAAAATGATAACAAACTAGAAAAAAGAGATCATCAGAACACCCTTTATGTAAAAATATTTGTTATCTAGTTAGTAAAACAATTTTTGTAGAGATAAACCTAGCGCAAACCGTTTAAAGTTACCCGTAATGACTGTACTTCTTATGGTTCGGTGTCTTTAAAGCGAAACTTTTAAGAGCGAAAATTTTGAAAGCGAAAGGTCGGGAAAGCGAAAAAGTTAAAAGCGAATGCGATTGGTTAAGCGAGAAAATTTTTTAAAAACATTGGCATACAGTTCATGTTCCGAGACCTGCTCACTCCGTTTATGGTAATGTAATGACGTTTTATTTATTTCGCGTATTATTTATTGAATTAAGCCGAATCTATCAGTTGAAAGCAAATTATTCTCTGATGAAGTTGATATTAAAAGTTAGTAATATTTGAATGGATTATTAAGAATAAAAGAAGTATAAGTGATTGGTATTTTATTGAGTGGGTTTTCATTCTCTTGATGATCTGTGAATAAAATTAGAATAAATCATTAAAAAATATTAAATATCTTATCAAGTATTTATTAAAAACCTAGTTAATAATTTTTTACTAATCTTTTTATTGTTTAGTTTGACAAAAAAGAGCTGCGATCATAACTACTAACAACATTACTAACGTTTTACTAGTAAAATGGATTTTACTCAATTTAACTATTCTGCTATTGAAGATAGTGTTCCCATAAGCTCAAATATAAATGAAAAAGCGGTATTTTTTAAAATCATTAAAATTAATTATATATATATATATATATATATATATATATATATATATATATATATATATATATATATATATATATATATATATATAATTAATTTTAATGATTTTAATTTACATTAGTGTATCTCAAAGTTATAGTGCAAAAAGCTCTCTACTAACTCTCATTCTATAAACCCTGGCTTAAATAATAAAAATTATTAAAAGTTTTTTAGGATTTTATAATGACAGGATATACTAGATTTAAATCTTTTTTTTCTTTCCATTTACCATGGAAAACACCTGTTTTACATTGTGGGTTTTCTTTTCAATAGGAAATACAAACTTATGTTTATAAGGATATAATCTTGAATAAGCTTAATGTTCCTTTCTACAGCAGTTCCATGCTCAGAAGCAAAGCATTTCAATCTATTATTATTTATCTTTTTCAAAGCTTTGTATGGAATCTCCTTAAAAGTTAGCGTTTAAAAAAAAAAATTATATATATATATATATATATATATATTAATGTATATATATATATATATATATATATATATATATATATATATATATATATATATATATATATATATATTAATGCATATATATGTATTTTATATTAGTTATTTTTTTTTTACTTTGTTATTTTTTGCATTGCTATCATAATCAGTCTCCATTAGCAGAAGAAAATGTTGTAGATTTTAATGTGGAAAATAGTGGAGATGATAAAGGTAAAATGAATAAATTTCATATAAATTTCATATAAATGTTTTTATATACATAATAATATTATATATATATATATATATATATATATACATGTGTATATATATATATATATATATATATATATATATATATATATATATATATATATATATATATATATATATATATATATATATATATATATATATATGAAGAGTTTATTTTCAAAACGCGGTAAACGCCATTTTCAAAATTTTTGAGAAATTGTGTGGTTTATTTTTAGTTTATAAGGACCTAGCAGACATTGTGTCCGAATATATGATAAACGAAGTATAACTCAATATTTTTTTACTTCTAAAAAACATTTACTTTCAAAACGCGGTATGAAATTTTTTATTTGTTTTCAAAATGCGGTATTTAATTTTGACCAATCCGTGGCAAATGTATATTACTTCTGCGCAAGCGCAAATATTTTAAAGTTGCGTTAAAGAAATGGCGGATTGCGATCGACAAGATTAATGCGTTACCTAATATCCTATTTCACATAGAAAAAAAGATATGATGTATGAAACAAAAGAAAAGAAAAGCATTTCTTAATTCTAGTGTTCGTTTTAGCTACCATGCTTTGTTTGTTTAACTGAACGAATTATGGAATAATGATAGAAAATATATTAAAAAGGCAACTTAAATTAATAAGTTTAAACATATTGTTACCTGTTTTTTAATGGAAAGCATTCAATAATAATACTTCCTTTTTATTTTTTGTTAAACCGACAATTGCTTTGTTGCAAATAAAATGAGGCTATTGCAGTCTTTCATTTTTAAAATTTTATTTCGTTCAAAAATATAACGATGACTTTTACGTTATATTAATTGTCCATTAGTTCTATGGAGACTTAAAAATAGTGATCATCATTGTTACAACTACACAACACTAAAAAAATATTATTGTTTATTGTCCATATTTAACTCTCCGAAACAAATATAAATTTACAATTGCGAATTGTGAAATGTAATAGTTTACATTACTTTAATAAAACATTGTTTACATTCACATTATCAATAAAATATAATGACCAAACATTAAATACACATATTTGTTCAATATGTTAAATAAAATTAATCATTAAAACCTATTCAGGTCTTTTAAAGTTTAAAAACTTTCCATAACATCTTTACAAAATGGATATACCGCATTTTGCTAACAAGCTTTAATTGGATATACAGTATTTTGAAAATAAATGCAAAATTATTGACAAAAAAAATAAATTTTTCTATTAAATAATATTTTATTTATTAACACTATATAATATACTTTATGTATATATACATTAAGAAACAATAATTTTTCCAAATATACGAGACATGTTGGTGTGGCGAAAAAAGTCAATTATCTCAATACCACAAAAATGGATATACCGCATTTTGAAAATACGCTCTTCATATATATATATATAT